AGAGAGAGAGAGAGAGAGAGATGAAGAAATTTAAATAGATAAATATGAAAAAATTTAGATAAATATGAAGAGATTTAGATAGATAGATAGATAGATAGATAGATAGATAGATAGATAGATAGATATAAAGAGATTTAGACAGAGAGATAGATATTAAGAAATTTAGATAGATATGAAGAGATCTAGATAGATATGAAGATTGATATGGGAAAGTTTAGATGGCTAGATATAAAGAGATTTAGATAGATAAATATGAAGAGGTTTAGATAGAGAGATATGAAGAAATTTAGATAGATATAAATAAATTTAGATGGCTAGATATGAAGAGATTTAGATAGAAGAGGCTTAAATTAAAGAAGAGACTGAGATAGATAGATAGATAGATAGATAGATAGATAGATAGATAGATAGATAGATATGAAGAGATTTAGATAGATTGATAGATATGAAGATATTTAAATAGATATGAAGAAATTTAGATATGAAGAGATTTAGATAGATAGGAAGATATTTAGATATATAGATAAATAGAAATTAAAATAGATATGAAAATACATTTTTATTACTTCAAACTTTATTATATTGGATAATTTGTATTTGAAATTACTTAGATTTCGTGAATACTGTATGCACACAGACTGTAAGCTGATAGATGTAATACACACTGTTTAATGAATAAAATGAAATAATATATATGTGTGTGCACATTTTTATACATGTATCAGTCTGCTGCATATATATATATACACTAACTAACAATTTAAAGCATACAAAAAACATGCATTCACATATACATACATCCAAACTAAAAGGTACATTCAAACACGCCCACATGTACACTTAGACTCACATACATGTGTGCATAAACTGAAAAGTTGAATGCCTTTTCTATGACAAGGTCAGTGCTGTCATTTCAAAAATTCCCCACTCACAATGGCAGTTAAATTCAATTGAGATTTCAGCCACCCATGCCTCTCGTATGCACCATCTGGAGAAGTCATTGCTCTTAGCAAAGCCATTTGACCCACATTAACTCAGGCCCAGAGTGAGACTGTCTGAAGCATTCAAAGTTAAAATGTGCTGACAAAGAGTTAAGCATTGCTGGTTGTAGCATGACGGTCTGAATAGTCGCAGTGGAAAGCAACTGGAAGCTTGTCAGAATTAATAATAGTTGAAAGTAAAAAAAGCCATCATATAATGAAATTTAAAAAAATAACTGATGTATACAATAAAAATTGTTTTATTCTAATAGAAAAAAAAATGTTCGATTCTGATAGAAAATAAAAAAAAGAATTCCAAGAACATCATTTACTCACTTTCATTTATTAAACATTAAATTTTATCACTTAGCATCCTCCATAGCTTGCTCAGACTTCTCGGCTAACCTGATGAATATTTATGAGCATTCTTGAATTTTGTTGGATTCTGTGTCATCTCTGGGTTCCTATGCTACTATATAAAATGATATCAACAAAAAGGACCATTTCTTTTTGTTATTCCTTTTCTTAGGAGAGAGAAAAGGCAGCTTGGGTTTTAAAAAGCAACAGGAGGAATGACGTCACAGTAATGCATGCTGGCTCAGCATCTCTCTGGGGATGGTCTTAACTGGTCGCTAACCTGGGTGTGGGAGACATAGTGACACTTCAGAATTCTTGCAGGCCTCTGTCGAATTTACGCCATTTTGGACTTATATCCAAAACCTAGACAAAAGCAAACCATCACTGTCAAAATACCATGTCCACAAGGCATTTCGGCCAATCGCTAACCATTCTGGCCCTGGCTTTCACATTTTGTAACAATTTAAAATTCGGAAAACCAATAATATTTTTTTCTCCTGTATACAGGAAAATAAAAAATATAATCCTTGCATTTGCTTTGATGATGAAATGTGTCAGCTAAGATAAGTTTTCCTTTTGTCTTTATTCATAGTTTCTTTTCTCACACTTCTCACCTGTGGAACTCTCTTTTCTTCTCTGTCTCCTACACTCTTCAAAAATTGAAATGCAAAGCCAATCACTATCTTCCTGAATCCTGTTCTTTTATTGTCCTTTCTCCTCACTAAAGTCTTCTCATTCTCTTTCACACCCAGTAACCCTTTGTGTCTCAGTGGCTTTATCTCCTTGCTTGGAGTGAAATGATTAAGGAAAAAATCTGTTTTGAATTTCTGGAATGAGGAGTTATCATTTTTTTGTTGTTATCACAACATTTCAGCCGTTCTGTTCACCGGCCTTCATCAGGTGTTTGTTAATAACAGCAACAAGGATGAGGACAACAAACGCTTATAAATAATGTAAATAAAGTAGTTGCAGTAAAAACCAAGAGAAATTAAGATGAAGGGAATACTCGTCAAAAATTAATAATGGTTCACAATGTTTCATCTAATAATAATAATAATTGAATATAATATTACTAATAATGACACTAAAATGACGTTCTCAGTAGTTGCAATAAAAAGCAATAAGAATTAAGATGAAAGGTATACTATCTTCACTCTTTGACAATTGGTGTGTTTAAAATTTATAAAAATGTCTGAACAAAAAAATTTAAAAATTTAAAATGGCAAATAACTACAAATTTTGAAAAAAATGCATTTTACAAGGAATTTCTTTCATTTACTCTAACCAGAGAAATTCTCTAAAATAAGTTGAGTGCATCTTTTCCTCTGAACCAAACAAAGCGATGATTAGAATTGTAATATAATCTAAATATATGGAAGTGAATTTATACATTTTCTTTGTTCTTGAGAATTTGCAGCAAAAATAATAAACACTATTTATTTATTAGATTAATTTCATTTCATTTATCGTTTTTGCTCCTTAATAAGGTTTTAATTTTCTTATATTCTTTAACACTCAGTAAGCCTCTCCATATTAGTGACTTTATTGCTTTGCTTAGGGTGAAAGGATTATAAAAAAAAAAACAGTGGATGTTAAATACGACACTAAGATCTGAATATGCATTGGACTAATAATAATAAAATTGAATATAATATTACTACTAACTAGCAGTAGAGCCATGCGTTGCCCGGGGATATAACAGTAAGAAATAGATCAAGTATCCACCATCATAAAGACTGAAAAATAAAATTGACAAAGATTATTATTTAAGGTTGACGGACACACATGTCTTAATTAGTTTTTATTTTTTTTATTTTTTTTTAGGAATTGTTATGAGTCTACCGATTGAATAGAATTTTATTATAAACAATTGTCTTGTAAATGGAATTTTTAAAGCATTCTGAATGTAAAAATAAAGAAAAAAGTGTGCAAGACAATAAGAAACACTACCTGCCAAAAAAAAGTGAAGTTTTGTTGAAATCGGTTGAAAAATGTAGGAAATCCGATCCAATATATAAACATACAGACATACACACACACACACAATAAGTATGATGATACTAAAATGACATTCTCACTAGTTGCAATAAAAAACAATAGGAATTAAGATGAAAGGAATACTATGTTCACTACTTGGTAATGTTTATTATTTTAAAAAGCAATAATCAGAATTGTAATAAAATCTAAAACATATGAAAGTGAATCTATACAACTTCTTAAGATGAGTACTTATAGCAACAAAGATGAGGACATATACAAGTATTAGTGTTACCATGTAACTGAGAACTACCTGTTGCATGGCCGGGGTCATTGGTGACAAGATTCTTTCCTTAACCAGGCTTTTTAGCAAAAAGTGTGGATAGACACCCCGCAGGGTTAAAACCAAGACCTATCAAAGAGTGGATGAACATTTTTGTAGGGTCAATGGTCACTTTCAACAGTGCTTCGTAAACTTTTTTCATTCATGACCCCATTTTTCATCACAAGATTTTTAGTGACCTCAGGTATTAACCAACTACAGTGAAAATACATATATTGTCACTACACTAGTCACAATGGTGCCACACATGCATTTTATTACCGCAGTGCTTGCATGGTGCATCATGTTAAATATTGCGCATTTGTGAAACAACACACTGTGGACATGAAAGCGAGACTAACTTTAGCTCTCGACATAAGAGGGTTCGTTTGTGTCTGGCGTGCAGGGCAGTAATTAATCCGAAGAGAAAAACTGCCATTACGGTGAGTCGGACTTATGGAAAACGCGATCTCGGAGCTGCGAGGATTGGCAAGACGTGAACTGGGCCGGAAGTTGATGGGTCAGCGTTTGCTGCAATAAATGTGACGGCAAGAGACCACTCGGGAGTTTTTTGTGTGTAGCAAACTACGAGGCGGTGTTTGAATAATTGAGTGGAAAAATCAGTGGAATTTTGTAGCTAAACTGTCGTGAAGCTAAGGAGTTTTGTTTCTTCCCAAAGTAGGCGGTGCCAGGCCAACCTGTTCCCTTCCTATTGTTTGGACCTAATTTTATCTACACACACATAAACTGAAATTCAAATGTTTGAATTTAATTTCCACGACCCCCAGCATTTCTCTTCAAGACCCCATTTGGTGTCATAACCCATAGTTTAAGAAGCTTTGGTCTAGAACAACAAAGTAGACTGTACTCCATTACTATGTATGCAGCCAGTGCTGCGATGATGCTGGGCAGAAGGGTTTCCTAGACTGAAGTCAATGACCAGGGTGTAGAACTTCAAAAATTTAAATGCACTGTCAATCGTTATCTACTGTCTTCCTGATTGCTCTTCTGTTGTTCTCACTCCTTAACAATGTTTCTGTTTTCTATTTCTTTCAAAATTGGTAACTTCTTGTGTCTTAGTGGTTTTATTACCTTGCTTGGGGTGAATTTGATTAAAAATAAAAATAGAAATTTATATTGAGCCAATTTTTTTTTAAATTTATACAGCAATTAAATGGTATTGTGTTAGCAAAAACTGTGTTATGATGTGCCATTTTTGTTGTATTCTATATCTTTATGTAACACAAAGACATAAAAATCAGATCATGATAAAACTATTCAATTACTTTTTTTTGTTTTTGTCTTTTTCAGGTGCTTTTCTCTTCCCGTTTATCTTGATGTTAATACTGATTGGAACACCACTCATGTTTATGGAACTAGCCTTTGGCCAGTTTGCTTCTCTTGGACCAGCGGCCATTTTTGACCGATTCTGTCCATTGTTCCATGGTAAGTAATCAACAGGTGACCAAAATGTTGTTTTCAATACTATCTTTTCTTCTGCTGTTTGTAAATGGTAAGCCCTTCAAAGAGCAATGGCCTGTAAACATTTTCAACAATAATTCAAACCTGCACACATCATTTATGTTCAGAAGTGTATACCTACATTAGTAATGAGTGAAATATTGATTGAAACATTACTTATACTGAACACCACTCAATTTATAAATTTATAATAAATATTTGCTGAATATAATATATTCCCTTTGAATATGGGACTAGGCTCTAACTCATTCTGTTTGTTATTCAAGGGTAAGTACAGTATATCTTGGTGTACAAGGCAACCGTTTAACCTTAAAAAAAAAAAAAAATAAGAGGTGGGGTCTTATACTCCTGGTATAAAAAGTGATCCTTAAATCCTGTGATTTATGGTAAATTGTTAGCATGGGAGGTTTTTTATGGTATGCTAACCTCCTGCCTTGGTAAATATCGATACAAATATTTTCTATTGAAACAACTTCATTCACATTGTTATGTTAGGGGTAACATTAAGTACAAATTGTAGTATTTAATTGACAATATCTCCCCTCTTTTTTTTCGAGGATATTGAACAAAAACACAGCTGGGTGCATGTCTCAACAAGAGAGATTTGAGTCAAAGGGAAATAACTGAGACATCTGGAAGAGGCATGCAATGTGGAACTCGAACAATCTAACCCAGTGGACAAAATAAAGGGTTCAGTTTAAAATTCCAATCACCTGAAGAAGGCCAGAGCATACAACAGTTGAAATGCTGTGAATATGACCAGGGGTTTTCAAACTTTTTGACTTGTGGACCCCTTTATATTTCAGGCTTTACCTTAGGGACCCCCTTATAAACGCTTATGAAATTTATACATAAATATTTGCTGAATATAACATATAATTTTGCATTAATGCAATAAAAGCTGGTTTCAAGCTTACTTTAGACATAAGTGTTCAAATAAATTAATGCTGCATGTTGTTGCAAAATGTAGCAAAATTAAATTTTCTTATATTAAAATATTAATTTTACATGTAAATGAAAACAGTAATAGTATTTAACAAAAAGTTTTATTGTCAATTACACACACAGGATTTTTTAATACACATTAGTGAGAAGGATGTGCTTGCTTGTCTTTGCACAAACTGTCAATTCTTGGCGATATTCCTGATAAACATACACGTAAGTCATTTTCTGGAGCAAGACTGGATCTGTATTTGTTTTTCAGATTGGTTAGTGCCGAAAATCCTGCTTACTTGCTTACTCATCCAACAGCCTTGCACTTCTACATGCAAAATGTCTCCTGTTTGAAGATTTGCACACAGCCAATGAAAAAGCCGGAAATCGCAAAATAGATCCAAAATTCAAATCCTTTGGTTCCTTCTCTGCATGAATAGAATCCATTATCTTTATTAATTTAAGATACAAATTATATTAGTATATCAAATCTATGAAAGTTTATTGAATCAATTTATTTCATGATTGGCCTATAAGTTACTTATAAGCGCTTATGAGTTGCACGTCACCCATAAAAAAGTCTTTTCTGTCTGCAGACCACAGTTTGAAAACCCCTGAGTTAAATTACTTCATCATAATATCATATATAAAATACAAACAAGCCGAACATGTTAATCTTTTCATAAATGAATCATATACAGTTATCTTCGCTGCACCTTCTCTGTTTTCATTGTTGCAAATTGGTCTGTGATGTTCACAAGGTCAGTTATTTTCAGCTTCTCTTTCTACAATCAGAAGAGAAAACATTGTAATAAAAAGCAACAGAAATAACATCCATCATTTAAGAGGTTCAGACAATTTAAGACTACTATATCTACAACTACTAGGTGGAAAGCAACAAAAGCAATATAGAAAAAGTAAAAAATTAATAATAATTTACAAGACTTCAGCGAAGAAATTGCTGTCCACGAACCCCCATCATGTCCTTGCGAACCCCCTGTGGTCCGCGGACCACAGTTTGAAAACCCCTGAATATGACAATGAAGATGAGGATAACAGTCCGAATAATGTAAATGATGGAAGTAATCAATACAATACATTTTAACATACGATTTTGATGAGGGTATCTTTATGGTGAATATAACCTGAAACCTACATTTCAACTTGAAAATTTGAGGGTCTTATACACCCAGTCGCCTTGTATGCCAGCATGGACAATATTCATATATGGTATTCATTCTTTCTTTTATTCATAAGTTCACATTTAATCTATAGCTAGTGGGAGAAGAAACAGATTAATCCCTTTTCCTAGGGCATTAGTGTAAAAAGATTTTATACTCATCTTGCCAATTGACGCTTCTTATATCAATATCTTTGACACTCTCCACATTTACTTCTATTAGTTTGAGTGTGGTGAACTTTGATGCATTGTAATTGTTAACAAGCCTGTCTTACTAGAACAATTACGGCTGAATAGTGAGTTCAATACTTAGTGAGTGTACCATACTTTCAGTATGGTACTTTTCTAAACTTAGAAAATCACCATACTTTTATTAGAGTGATTTCCATGCCAAACTAGAACGTCCAATCTAACTACTATTTAACCCATATGTGTGCAGTAGAAAGATTCAGGCTTGGTGGGTGATGAATTATTTTCCACTTCACAACCCCTTCCCTGCACACTACACGTCACAAGCCTCTCACTACTCATATATTCAGTTTACGATATCCTCAGCATCCTTCTGCTTAATCAGATTTATATTGTTTCAAGTTTCTTCTTCTGTGATGAGTTTGTCCAGCATTCACTGGCATATACGTGGATTGATATTATATTTATGGCTTTGTATTTGTCACTGTTTCCATGGAAAATGTTCATATGAGCTACATTTCTTAGTTCCCCACCACTTTAACTCTCCCAACTAAGACCCATAACAATGCACACATTGAGGACTAGCCATCCTCATTCCCTTCATATTCCATTAGTAAAGAGGAGATTCCACTCAGATACTTTCTTCCCAAAAACTGTTGCTTTGTGGAACAGAATCCAAGAAGGATACATTCTCAACCTATGGCAATTTTAACCTCTTCAAGTCTTGGGTTAACCATTATTTTTCACACATATCTACGTAAATTGGGTGCCTTGCACTTACTGCTAACTCAACAACCGCATTCTCGGTTGAGTGACACTTGGACCTTGTGTAGGTTGAACCTAATTAAAAAAAGAAATTCCAAGAATATTTGTGTGAAAATGAATGCAAGAGACTAGTCTGGAAATTGAACTTGGTTCACAAATTCCACTTACCATACTGATAGCCGTTACACTACCTACGCATCTCTTTTACCTAATAGTATCTATAATGTTAAGAGATTACTAGAAAACAAAACCATAAATAATTCCTTTATCAGAACAAAATAACCGCACCTAGTTATTTTTTAGCTTTGTGATGTGGCTGAACTGTTATATAATACCAATACTCCTCTCTGCCAGATGAAGAGGAGACTTGAAGCAAGAGAAACAAAGAAAAGAGTGCTGAACTGCTATATAATATCAATCCTCCTATATGGCAGTGAATGCTGGACAATTTCCTCACAGATGTAGAGGAGACTTGAAGCAAGAGAAACAAAGAAAAGAGTGCTGAACTGCTATGTAATATCAATCCTCCTATATGGCAGTGAATGCTGGACAATTTCCTCACAGATGAAGAGGTGACTTGAAGCAAGAGAAACAAAGAAAAGAGTGCTGAACTGCTATGTAATATTAATCCTCCTATATGGCAGTGAATGCTGGACAATTTCCTCACAGATGAAGAGCAGACTTGAAGCAAGAGAAACAAAGAAAAAAGTGCTGAACTGCTATGTAATATCAATCCTCCTATATGGCAGTGAATGCTGGACAATTTCCTCACAGATGAAGAGGAGACTTGAAGCAAGAGAAACAAAGAAAAGAGTGCTGAACTGCTATGTAATATCAATCCTCTTATATGGCAGTGAATGCTGGGCAATTTCCTCACAGACGAAGAGAAGACATGAAGCAAGAGAAACAAAGAAAAGACTACTGAACTGCTATGTAATATCAATCCTCTTATATGGCAGTGAATGCTGGACAATTTCCTCACAGATGAAGAGAAGACTTGAAGCAAGAGAAACAAAGAAAAGAGTGCTGAACTGCTATGTAATATCGATCCTCCTATATTGCAGGCAGTGAATGATGGACAATTTCCTCACAGATGAAGAGGAGACTTGAAGCAAGAGAAATGTAGTTCTATAGAAGAATGCTGAGAAAACTATGGACTGAGCAGCACGGATGTTTTAAAAAGATGGAAACAAATAGGAAATTTGAATCAAAAACCAACAGTTGAAATTTCCAGGACACATAATGAGGAAAGAGGTTTGGAAAATTTGCCACTCACAGGCCATACTAAGGGCAAGAAAGACAAAGGAAGGCAGTAAATGACCTACTTAATGTGTTTGCGTAAATGGATGTCAGAACAGGAACTGGGAAGGATAGCAGAAAGACAAATCTTACTAAATGCTACAAAAGATAGGAAGTTGTGGAGAGCCATGATCACCTACGTCCTGAAAGGACAAAGTACATAGAAGAAGTAGAAGAATAATGGGGAATATGTAATGAATTATTATGGTTTAACTTTGTGAATTTTAAATAGGAAGAGAATTGGGTCTGTTACAAACTAATAGCAAAAATCAATTGATGACCAACAGAATCTTTAATTACTTTTTCTTTCTTTTTTTTTCAGGCCTTGGTATCGCTATGGTATGTGTGTCAAGTTTAGTTGCCATCTATTATACAGTCATTATTGCTTGGACAATTCTTTATTTGTTTTCATCATTTACATCAGAACTTCCTTGGGAAACCTGCCAACCAGAATGGAAAACACAATGTAATTATCTCCCTTTGCTCTTTCATTTTGAAACTTTTTGAATTATCGCCCTTGTTTTGTTTTGTTCATTTCTTTATAAATTTTACCATAAATCATTGTCAAAATTGTTCTCATTTTTCACCTTCTTTCTGCTTTTCATCACAACTCTTTGAAATTATGTCAAAAATGATTAAAAACTGACAAGGCTTCATCTATGAAATTAAGACAGCTTAAGACTGTTGCTACTTGGTATAAAAAGCAAGAGAAATAAGATGAAAGAAATACTAGTAAAAAATGAATAATAATTGACAAGGCTTCATCTAAAAAATACAGACAACTTAAGACTATTACTACTTGGTGGAAAAGCAAGAGAAATAAGATGAAAGAAATACTAGTCAAACATGAATAATAATTGTCAAGGCTTCATCTAAGAAATTCAAACAACTTAAGATTATTACAACTTGGTGGAAAAGTAAGTGAAATAAGATGAAAGAAATACTAGTCAGAAATAAATCATAATTGATAAGGCTTCGTCTCAGAAATTCAGACAACTTAAGACTATTATTACTTGGTGGAAGAGCAAGAGAAATAAGATTTGTTTTTTTATCTGATGAAGCCTAGAAAGGCAAAACACATAATCAAATCTAGTTTCAATTAAATGCTTTTCTATTTGTCATATTTCTTCAAAACTTTGTTGTGATTCTATAACCTATTTTAACAAATGTATTTGCATTGACAAATCCCAGGGAGAGTCTCCCAGGGACAAAATGATCATCAGAATGGGGTAATTTGGGTTTCATTTTTGTAATTCACTTATATACTCTATAATAAATATATTGATTTCTCTTTTGTGGATCAGTTTTTATATTTTATATTAATAGGATCTACTTGGATTACTTACTCACAGATTTTTACAAATATATATATATATATATATATATATATATATATATATATATATATATATATATATATATATATCCAAGTATAGGATTGGTGTATATGGAATAAATTCCAATAGCCAAAAAATACTATTCTTAAAAGAGTACTCAATACAGATTAGACCAAATATAATTTATTCGAAAATTATAACATAAATATGTTATAAAATCACTACAAAATAGCCATTTTGTTTCAACACTTCTGGTGTCTTAAAATGGCTATTTTGTAGTGATTTTATAACATATTTATGTTATAATTTTCAAATAAATATATATATATATCACAGGATATATATATATATATATATATATATATACTTGATAAGACATATATATATATATATATATACTTGATAAGATATATATATATATATATATATACTTGATAAGACATATATATATATATCTAAATGGAATAATAATAATAAAAAACGAAAGAATATTAATCTACAACCCAGTGTGTCTAATGATTTTAATTTTTTAATTTTTTTATTTTCTTATTGTTCAAAATATATATATATATATATATATATATATATATATATATATATATCACTTGATAAGACACCGGAGGTGTTGAAACAAAATGGCTATTTTTGTAGGGATTTTTTAACATATTTATGTTATAATTTTTTCTATATAAATAATTATATATATATATATATAGAGAGAGAGAGAGAGAGACAGACAGACAGACAGACAGACAGATAGATAGATAGATAGATAGATAGATAGATATGCTTCTCTGTTTCTGAACTCTTTTTGTTATATTGCTTTTGTCTTTTTCCTCAGTGATTTCTTTCTGTCTCTCTCTCTCTCTCTCTCTTTCGGGCCCTGCAGCATTCTTCCTTCAATTTCAATCATTTTTTTCTTCTTTTTTCCCTTCCAGACTGTTACTCATTCCGGGATGCAGAAGAATGTGCCAAAATCAACGGGAGTGTCTTTTATAATCAGACCTGTTTCAATGCCACAACAGCAGCACGAGAAAATCTGGTAGAACTTGCCAAAAATGTCACAAGGCATGCACCAGCCCAAGATTACTTTGAGTACGTATTTAGATCAGAAGTAAGATTGCAGAAAAATCACAATGACGATACGATCATTTAAATTACTTCACCGTAATATCATATATAAAATACAAACAAGCTGAACACATTAATCTTTTCATTAATGAATCATATACAATTACCTTGGCACCTTCTCTGTTTTCATTGTTGCAAATTGGTCTGTGATGTTCTCAAGGTCAGTTATTTTCAGCTTCTCTTTCTACAATCAGAAGTTGCAAATATTGTAATAAAAAGCAACAGAAATAAGAGCCATCATTTAAGAGGTTCAGACAATTTAAGACTACTATATCTACAACTACTAGGTGGAAAGCAACAAAAGCAAGATAGAAAAAGTAAAAAATTAATAATAATTTACAAGACTTCAGCAAAGAAATATGGATATTTTAAAATTATTATTTCAAGGTGTAAAAAGCAACAGGAAAAATGATGAATAAATACTACTTAAAAATTAATAATAATTAAAAATGATTAATCAAAGAAATTCAGACGTCTTAAAATTATTTATTTTTCTTAAAATTATTAAGATGTAAAGGCAATGGAAATAATATAAATGAATACTACTAAAACATAGCAGTTCATCACTCTTTTCTTTGTTTCTCTTGCTTCAAGTCTCCTCTTCAACTGTGAGGAAATTGTCCAGCATTCACTGCCATTTAGGAGGATTGATATTACATAGCAATTCAGCACTCTTTTCTTTGTTTCTCTTGCTTCAAGTCTCCTCTTCATCTGTGAGGAAATTGTCCAGCCATTCACTGCCATATAGGAGGATTGATATTACATAGCAGTTCAGCACTATTTTCTTTATTTCTCTTGCTTCAAGTCTCCTCTTCATTTGTGAGGAAATTGCCCGGCATTCACTGACATATATGAGAATTGATATACATATATTGCACTCTTTTCTTTGTTTCTCTTGAAGTCTCATTCTTCATATGTGAGGAAATTGTCCAGCATTCACTGCCATATAGGATGATTGATATTATAGCAGTTCAGCAATCTTTTCTTTGTTTCTCTTTTCAAGTCTCCTCTTTATCTGTGAGGAAATTGTCCAGCATTCACTGCCATTTAGGAGGATTGATATTACATAGCAATTCAGCAAAATTTTCTTTGTTTCTCTCTTCATCTTGAGGAAATTGTCCAATGCCATATAGGATGATTGATTTACATAGCAGTTCAGCACTATCATCTTTGTTTCTCTTGCTTCAAGTCTCCCTCTTCATTTTGGAAATTGTCCATTCACTGACATATATGAGAATTGATATTACATAGCAGTTCAGCACTCTTTTCTTTGTTTCTCTTGCTTCAAGTCTCCTCTTCATATGTGAGGAAATTGTCCAGCATTCACTGCCATATAGGATGATTGATATTACATAGCAGTTCAGCAATCTTTTCTTTGTTTCTCTTGCTTCAAGTCTCCTCTTCATCTGTGAGGAAATTGTCTAGCATTCACTGCTATATAGGAGGATTGATATTACATAGCAGTTCAGCACTCTTTTCTTTGTTTCTCTTGCTTCAAGTCTCCTCTTCATCTGTGAGAAAATTGTCCATCATTCACTGCCATATAGGAGGATTGATAATACATAGCAGTACAGCACTTATTTCCTTGTTGCTAATGAAATTTTTCTTTTTCTTAGTTCTTAGAATGTATCTTTTGTTAGTTCAATATGTTCTCAGATTTTGGTGTTGCATTTACTATATATAAATAAAAGACAATGTAACATAAAGAAAAGAAAATTCCAAAAAATTAATTTGTAATTTCAAACATTCATAAATTAAATTTGGCTGTAAAATTTTGTATATTTTAAGATTTGATTTTTTCCATCGTTTCTTTTTGCCTATATCGTCTTTTCTCTTTCTTTTCAGACGTCATATACTTAACATATCAGATAGCATAGAACATATAGGTAATATCCGATGGCAGGTTGTTTTATGTTTGCTTTGTGCCTGGACTTTAACTTTCCTTTCACTTAGTAAAGGTGTTAAATCCACTGGAAAGGTAAGTAAACATTAAATATTTCAATTCGAATCTAGCGACATGGTATAAAAAAGTGGAAAAAAAATTATACTTAAAAGATTAAAATATCAGTGTTCCCTCTCCTTTGTGCACTTGTGTAAGTCGCATCAACATAAACATCATTTAGTCTAATGCATTCCTAAAGGAAGTCACATGAAAACTTTTCCATTTTATCATTAATTTTCCTAACACAATCACATCCAAAACTATTATCAATATGATCAGAACATTCTGAATAATTATTTAAAAAAACTGTCATGACTGCTCCTCACAATACATTGGAGAAACTTGCAGAAATTTAAAAAATGTATCTATGAACACAAAAGGAATTTCATACATAACAATTTATCAAAATGCATTAGTCATATATAGAAATAAATTCAACCACAAATTTGAATGCCACACTTATTAAAAGAGAAAGTAACTTAGATAGAAAATTCTTGAGTGTGCTGTTAATGAATCTTACCTATATATATATATATATATATTGGTATGTCAGCTGTCAATATACCTCATAACACTCTCGAGCACTTAGCTTGGAGTGGGTAGAATGGAGATAAACGTGTTTTAATGGACTTAGCAGTTTTCAATCAGCTTGTCTGAATCATCTTCAAGAAGCGAAAGCAATATCTAAAAGGTCAGCCAATCTAACAGTGATCTCATCCCACAATCCTTACTTTTGCTCCATATGTAGCCTCCTTTGTAAATCACTAGTGGGTCTTAAGTGCCACTTAAGATTATCGCACAAAATTTCCCAAATGAATCAATTAAGTTGTCAGATCCTCAAAGGTCAAAACTGACAGGAGAGTTCATTATATATATATATATATATATATATATATATATATATAATGGATGCTGGTTTCCTCATACACCTATGTATTTTAATGTATTTTCTGTTTATATGTTATTTTTTATAGATACAATTATTTAAGTAAATGCTCTGTTTATAATAAACTGTATTAAATTTATTTACCAGCCTGAATGTCCAAAAAATTTCATACAAAATATATGTTCTCTGACAGGGACTGAAACTGTATCCTACACAGAACCATCATTTGGCCTGATGTGTTATACCATTTAGCTACAGAAGAAGTATCTGGTTAGCAAAGTCAAATTACTGTTTTTAAAGAACAAATTCCCATGGTCTTTTTTCAAATGATCATATCTGCTTGAAGCGTATCTTAACGTAAACCAATGTGCTAGTTGGCTATTGACCATCCAAGAAGGTTCATCCATGCTTTGATAGGTCTTGATTTTAATCCTGCTCAGTTTCATGCCACCCTCCTCACCAGAAAAGTCTCATCATCCTCCTTCAACCTCCCTATGGTTGGTCAGAACTCCATTGACACATCCTTTCCACACTGTTAGGTTCTGTATTGCTGTCCCCAGATCCCAAATGTCCAATCCTGAGTCCTGAGCTATAGTATCTGGGAAAGTCAATTTTTGAGAGAAGACACTTCCAGATGATTTCCCTGTCAAAAGAAGAAAAGCCCAGAGGAGGAACTAGTTTAGTCAACCAACAAATGTGGCAGGTAGTACAGGGTTACATAATACCAGCTGCATTCATATAGTGACTTGACATAAACAGTTGGTATTAAAAGTTGGTATTATAAGGTAAGTGGCCCATGTTGCCAAGTAAGTTAACACACACTAAGAATAACAAGTCATCATGTATCTTCATTGTGCCTTTTCTATAAATATTTTCATGATAATTGTTCTGATGAGCTTTCCTCTACAGTATTTAGACTTTATGAATTTAAGCACAGTACTAGGTTGGCTGTTAGGTCTTATTTTACACTTGAAACAGCTAAATGTAACCATAAGTTCTTTGCTAACAGTTTCTTCTCTAATACTTTTTGCTTGTAGAACATTCTTCAGGCTTCAGGCTTTCCAATCAAGTTTAAAAATCAAGTTTAAAATTTAAATGCAATGTTAATCGTTATCTTTTTAATTCCTGTTTTCTTTACTATTCTCTCTCCTTAATAATGTTTTCTTTTTCACGTATTGTGTTTTAGTGGCTTTATTGCCTTGCTTTTAAAGTCTGGAATTATTATTCTTTTGTGGAGAAAGAACCAAAATTCCAACCAACGTTTTTTATTTCATTTCTTCACCTACTCCTGTACAGCAGGATGCCACTTTAAAAACCTCACATTTAGTTTCATCTCCCCAAAAACTGTCTTTCCCGGATACTATAGCTCAGAACTCAGGGTTGGACATTTGGGATCTGGGGACAGCAATACAGAACCTAACAGTGTGGAAAGGAAGTGTCAATGGAGTTCTGACCAACCATAGGGAAGTTGAAGGATGATGATGAGACTTCATAGATTTTACTGCTGGTCATAAAACACCAGACACTTCAAACGAAGATGAAATCATTTAGCATCCTCTAGAGTTTGTATCACAATAGTGCAGACTTATAGACAGTATTTATTGACCCAAATAAAACTAAATACTGAATTATCCTACATGTCGATCTTGTTTTTATTTTCTCTTCATTTCTCATTCTAGGTTGTATATTTTACTGCCCTTTTTCCGTATGTTGTGCTGTGCATATTGTTTGTCCGTGGTGTCACACTTCCAGGTTCCGTCAATGGCGTCATATTTTACCTGACACCACAATTTCACAAGCTTAAATCTGCAAAGGTAAGTTCTAGGAAAGGGTTTTTTTATTTGTTTTTTTTTTTAACACAGCTCTTTTGACATCTTTATTTCCATTACGCCGTGAAGCAGCCATCTTTAATATATTCAATATTCAAGTCAGGAATAACAAGTCTGAAAAGAAATTCACAAATATTAGTATACCTCATACTGAAAAAGAAAGTATATATATTATATATATATATATATATATATATATATATATATATATATATATATATATAGTTTATGAAAAACTAGGTAATCCTTTATGGGTAAACTTAAGGAGGATAAAATACAGAGAGCTCAATGTAAATCCAGAGCAAATAATTTAATAAAAACAGACCACTTTAAGGTTCCATGTAATAAATTATTTCACCACAGCCTTAATTTACATAATATATCTTCTCTCTCTCCCCACTCACTTCCTCACTTCCCAAATTAATTTACATATGTAAAATATGGCAATGAAAAAAATATGTGAATTTTTTTTTTTCATTTTTGTTTGGAAGTAAAGTTTGATGATCCATTCTTTTTTAAAAAGGGCTGTGGTGAAATAATTTATTACATGGAACCTTAAATTGGTCTTTTTTATTTAAAAAATATATATATATATATATATATATATATATATATATATATATATATATATATAAATTATGTGTGTTTGTATAAAGATAGATAGATAAATAGATAGATGGGGACATAAACACAAGTATTATTGCTTGTGAGAAATGTTTCAATGCATTTATCCTATAAATATCCTAGGTGTCAAAAACGACACCTCGGCCATTCAAGGTAAAATCTCAAATATCAGCTATTCCACTGAATATTTTTTAAAGAATTAAGTCTGTTAAGCATCTTTGCTAAAATTCAATAATTGTCCATAAGCCTCGGCATCGAACCAAAACTAGTTATTCCATAGGAATTTGTTGAAAATTTGAAGGTGTTGAAAACAACACCTCGGCCATCCGAGTGTTAAATTTTCACATGCTAACACCTTAGGTCAAAAGAAATTGTGGAAAACCATGTCTTCTAGTTGTCTGAAGATTGTCTCACTCTGCAGGTTAAATAAATAATGCTATGACATAGTTGAGTTTCAAACTTGATATTTGTAACCCCCAAAAAATGTATATAGGATACAATGGGTAAATTTTCATCATTTTATATTTTTAATTTCATACATGAACATTGTTTTTGATTTTGCCAACTGCGCAGTATAGTAGGGTCAGTTGGGCACTGTCTATGAATAAAAGAGCACAGTCACACAATTCACTTCGCCAGAAATTTGGAAATGGCATGCTGTACTGCATGGCATTCATGCTGGAAACTCCAATACAAACATTTCAGAGTCTTTGGATGCCAATCTGAGGACAGTGCAGAGAATTTGGTGTTGGATGAATAATAATGATTACAAAGGTATGGCAGCTTGAAAAACTCACTCTGATCATTCTGATAAGAAAAGTACTCTTGAATTTGATGGTTAGGGCCTCAAACTCAACACGGAGGTCTTCATTAAGTGCCTTGAGGATATAGTGCTGCCCTGGATCAAGAAGGTGGCTGTTGGAAGACCCTGTGTCTGGCAATAGGACACTGCACCATGCCACACAAGTAGGAGAACCCAGTCATAGCTGTCAGACAATTTCTGCGGCCACATCATCCCTTACATCTGACCCCGTAACTCCCCAGACTGCAACCCCCTTGATTATTATATGTGGGGCACAGTTGAGTGAGAGACCAACAAAACTCCTTGTAACACAAAAGATGAACTGAAGACAAGGATTATGGCAGCATTCACTAAACTCAAACAAGGAGACCATCCAGAAGATTTGCAGGGAATTACAAAGTCATTTGGAGGAAATGGTTGAAACCAATTTTATTGAATAAATTTACTCTTTAGTATTTCAAGATATTTTTGTGTAATTTTGATAATTATATCTGTTAAAATGAAATGTTATTTACATTTTTGTGTAATTTAGACGAAAATTTATCCATCGAACCCTGTAAATGATTCTTTAAAATGTCAAGCATTGATTTGACGCTGTATTAATATTATAAAGAAGACTCCCTTCTAAAATGTTAAAAAATAAATATTTTTCAAAATGTTCTTGCTTTGAATATTGCTGCCACATCTGGTCTAGTGTTCCTGCTATATATTTAAAGATCCTTGCTTTGAATATTGCTGCCACATCTGGTCTAGTGTTCCTGCTATATATTTAAAGATCCTTGCTTTGAATATTGCTGCCACATCTGGTCTAGTGTTCCTGCTATATATTTAAAGATCCTTGTTAAAATCCATAGAAAAATCTGCAATGTCATCGGTCCTGACCTGGCATGTCAGCCTCAGTCACTTTCCCACCACCATAATGTATCTTTCCTGTACCTTTTCTATAAATATTTTCATGGTAATTGTCCTGATGAACTTCCCCCGCAGACAAAAAGTTGTACATACGGGGACTAGTTAGGACTTCATAGAGACTCTGAGGTATTATGGTAGATGTAGTAAGAATGGTATGCATGAAAGTGTTGTTTTGGTATCAGGAATATTGTGGTATTTTCAGGTCAGTGATTGTTGCTAGATAAGTTGAATTATAAGACAGAAGAAGACCAACTTTTTCCCATCCTCCATTTTTGGCCTTGTGTTACATTTTTGTATTCACAAAATAAATATCATTTTCCTCTATGGCATTCATAGGGGTTTCATTTTTAAATGTTGTTATTTTTATTCCCCCTCCCCAACAGACAAATTGTACATATAGGAACTAGTTAGGACTACATAGAGACTTGAGGTATTATGGTGACTGTAATAAGAATGGTAAGAATGTGTTGTTCAAGTGTAAGGAATACATGTTTGGGTCAGTAATTGAGGCTAGCTAAGTTTAACATAAGACAAATTGAAGACCAGCCTTCCCCTTATCCCTCCTTTTGGCCTTCTGCCACATTTTTGTATTCTCAAAATAAATATCACTTTTCTCTATGGTATTCATTGGGGTTTCATTTTTAAATGTTGTTATTTTTATTCCCCCTCCCCAACAGACAAATTGTACATATAGGAACTAGTTAGGATTACATAGAGACTTGAGGTATTATGGTGACTGTCGTAACAATGCTAAGAATGTGTTGTTTTGGTGTAAGGAATATATTTTTGGATCAGTAATTGTAGCAAGCTAAGTTTAACATAGGAAAATAGGAAGCCCTGCCTTCCCTTATCCCTCCTTTTGGCCTTGTGCCACATTTTTGTATATAATAATACTTTCCTTTATACTTTATGAATTTAAAGACAATACTAGATTGGTGGCAAGGCCTCATCATATTATAGTAGAAATGGTTAGATGTAAGTTCTATGCTGACAGTTTCTTCTATCACACTTCTCACTTGTAGAACACACTTCCAACATCTTGCTTCTGAGTCAATTTTGATCAATCACTATCTTCTGTCTTCTTAATTCCTGTTTTTTTTTTATTGTTCTCTTTTGTTATAATATTGTTTTTATTTTTCTCATATTTTCTCATAGTCAGTAACCTCTTGTGTCTTTGTGACTTTATTGCCTTGCTTGGGATGAAATGATTTAAAAAAAGCATTGATTTAATACTAGAGCACTATTTTAAACGGAACCTTCTTCTAAAATGTTAAAAAGTAAATATTTTTCAATTCTAACATAGGTCACGCTTAAAGTAATGTCCATTGAATGCTAATCTACAAAAATTAATTTTAAAAATGTTTCGCTATTTTTAATGAGCAGAACAGTGAAACTCAGTGGTATTCAACTGAAAACATCAAATATTAATTTCAGCTGAAGCCACTTTAAGCAAATTCTGTTTTAATTTAGAATATTTTCTATTCTGGTTTTGGGTGTGTGCCATAAGGCAATGATTCGCAACCTCATCTTGTGGATCAAATTTGTTGCATTATTTTCTTTGGTCCTCAGGGGTGTGGCATGGTAAGCTCACAAGCATACATTTGGCATTTTTGGAACATTTCCCATGCGATATGTGCTATATCGAGACTGAAAGTAGATATTCACAGGATTTCATAGCTGGTTTAACTTTGTCTGAACTCCAACTACTTGTCAATTTATAGCCTATGGCCATTATCAAATTGAAACACCAGTTTAAACACTATGGCCATGATCAAATTGAAACACCAGTTTAAACACTATGGCCATGATCAAATTGAAACACCAGTTTAAACACTATGGCCATGATCAAATTGAAACACCAGTTTAAACACTATGGCCATGATCAATTTGAAACACCAGTTTAAACACTATGGCCATGATCAAATTGAAACACCAGTTTAAACACTATGGCCATGATCAATTTGAAACACCAGTTTAAACACTATGGCCATGATCAATTTGAAACACCAGTTTAAACACTATGGCCATGATCAAATTGAAACACCAGTTTAAACACTATGGCCATGATCAAATTGAAACACCAGTTTAAACACTATGGCCATGATCAAATTGAAACACCAGTTTAAACACTATGGCCATGATCAAATTGAAACACCAGTTTAAACACTATGGCCATGATCAATTTGAAACACCAGTTTAAACACTATGGCCATGATCAAATTGAAACACCAGTTTAAACACTATGGCCATGATCAAATTGAAACACCAGTTTAAACACTATGGCCATGATCAAATTGAAACACCAGTTTAAACACTATGGCTATGATCAAATTGAAACACCAGTTCACATACGATCATCAAAGTTAAGGAATGTTGAGCTAGTTCAGTACCTAGATAGGTGACTGCTTAGGAATACCAGATGCTGTAAGCTTGGATGTGCAGGTGATGTAATGGAGAACAGTTCAGAATTGGAAATTGAAGAGCCAAGTTCAAATTCCAGTCGAGTTTATTAGATTTACTTATATGCAAATACCTTTAAGAAAGGCATGAATCCACCTCTTCTACCCCCAGCTATAGGTTAATTAGTAAGACTTGTATCAGTAAATGTAAAAATCATTTCTGGCTTTAAATAACACACAAAAGGTTGAGAAGGCATAAAAAAATAAATCAATCAATTAATTGGCTATTAATCATTTGAAGTTAAACACACACACACACGTTTAGCGATTTCACTTTAAATGATCAGTTATGGAGAGTCTCTTTTTTTCTACCTGTTTTTGTTTGGAAAATCATTGGAATTTTGTTGAAATCAATATAACAAATGGATTTAATTTGAGACTCATTTTAAAAAAGAAATTAAGTTTCATTTTGACAAGGCATTTTTCTTTTGGAGCATACCCAAAATGATATGTACCACTAGATCAAGACTAAAAGTAGACTGTCTTGCATTTTCAGAACTGGTTCAACTTTTATCCTCTCTTCTAAAAAACCTTTTGAAATCATTAAAAACATCAAATTCTATGATTTTTAAAAAATACTTTAGATATCATTAAAAACAACAATTTTATAATTTAAAAATACTTTTGAAATCATTAAAAAATATTAAGCTTTCTGATTTAAAAAAAAATATTTTAAAATCCTTAAAAAGTCAGTTCATGATTTTAAAAATATTTTAAATTATTAAAAAAATTAATTTTATGATTTAAAAAAAATTTTTGAAGTCCTTAACAAAATCAATTTTATGATATAAAAAAAACCATTTGAAATCATAAAAAGTCAACTTTATGTTTAAAAAAACACCTTTAAAATTCTCAAAAAAAAATTAACTTCATGATTTAAAAATAAAATTTTTTAAATCCTTAAAAAATAAACTTCACAATTTAAAAAAAACAAAACTTTTAAAATCCTCATAAAAATCAATTTTATGATTTAAAAAAATATTCTAAAATTCTTGAAAATATCAACTTCCTTATTTAAAAAAAAAGTCATTTAAAATCCTTAAAAAATCAATTTCATTATTTAAAAAAAATATCTTTTAAAATCCTTTTAAAAAAATCAATTTATGATTTTAATGCTCAGCTCAGGACAGGAGTTATCCAGACTGAGTGGGATAGAAATAGATTTTGTACATCTTATTTCAAACTTAATCAAACTGTGTATGTGTTTGCATGTGCACGTGTATGTGTATGCATTAAATGCCACAAGCATTTATAAGTCATTGATGTACAACACAGTCATGTGCATATATGTTATGGAACCTTACCCATAATAACATAATGGACTATTCCATACGTAATAAATACTGCACCTCAAGAGGAAGCAGGGAGTTCAGTCTGAAGTCTGGAGTGAGATCCGTCAGAAGTCTGTCAGGAGTCTGTCAGTCAGTCAGTCAGTCAGTCAGAGCGAGTCAGTCAGTCGAGTCAAGAGTTGAGTCAGAGGCAGTCCGAAACAGAGTCACATTCAGACAATTACTGCAAGACATTGGAATAGTGATACTGGTCGAGACTACATTGTTCTCTCTACTAATCTTGATTGTTCATACTAACACTTCTACTTCTCTGTATATATTCCTGTTTGTAATATATCTGTGTTATTCCATGCCTGTGTTTGAGTTCTTCTTTATTGGTTCTACCTTGGACCATCACGGTGGTACAAGGACCTGAGCAATGAAGATTCAAACTCACACGTGAAGAACAAACAACAAAATCCTCTCTCGTCAACATAACAATATGCATTATATATATGCCTGGAAAGTCATGTAGGAACGATGCAAGACAGACAACCATCTCTTCTTTTATAATATAGATTTGTTTTTTACATTCTTATTTTCTTTCTTTTTATTTTCAGGTCTGGAAAGAAGCAGCCGTACAAATCTTTTTCTCACTCAGTCCTGCCTGGGGAGGACTTATAACACTGGCTAGCTATAACAAGTTTCATAATAATTGTTTTAAGTAAGTATAGAAGATGCTTGTATGGCTACACCTTTCAAGTTTTAAATATCAGAGACAAGGGTGACAAACTAGCAGCTAAAAGATTATTAGAGAAGATAAAACATTTTGTCACAGGATTTACATAAAGAATTTATGTTAACATGCTCAGAACTAAAAGCTGTTACAGTTTTCCCTTCTTCATCTATTAAATGTCAACTGATAATAATTAACATCCCCTTTTTGAAACGTATACCTTGTCTACATTTTGTCCTCAACCCAGTTTACAGCAATACTATTTAGTTTCTGAGCAACTGACATTTTTCTAATTTTAGTCATTAATCATTAAACAGTGTTTAGTCATGTAACATCCCCTTTTTGAAATTCATGCCTTGTTTACATTTTGTCCTCAACCAACTTTTGTGATTAATATCTACTTTCTTGAAATGTTTAGCTTATGGAGAATTCACATTGTATTATTTTTATATATCCATTGCCAAATGTTTATAAATCCTCTTGAAATTTCCACATTGTGTTCATTTTCTTCTCTGCTATTTGCTGTGACTAATATTTACATTCTAGCAATACTGTTTAGTCTCTGGAGAATTTGTATTGTTTTAGTTTCACCTGTTAAGCATCAAATTCAAATTATTTATGTCATACCCCCTTTTTAACATTCAGTTATCCAATGTTTGGTCATTGAACTACAAGGTAGTACTAAAACATTATTAGTTCGACACGGTATTCCTGCATTGAAATATGTGGAGAGGGTGAAAAGTTATTGGATAGACCCACTTCCCTAAATCAGTATTCTTTTGATTGCTTGAAATACTGATTTTAGTCAGGCTGAGAACTTTTCAGTAATGTCTCATATATCAATTCATTTAGGCTAGGGATTACAGTGGTAAATTTAGGCTATGGATTACAGTGGTAAAAAACAAAAAAAAAAGAAAAGATCAAGATAAAATATGAGAATGAGATAAAAAGTTTGTGGCTGTACACTCTTCCCAAAATTAATATTCTGATGTATGGTCATTGAAATATGGATTTGGGAAAGCGGTCAGCTCAATAACTTTTCAGCAGCCCTTTATAAGTAGTGTAAAAAAATAAAAATATCTTTCAACAAGTCATTTTAATATTTCTTATACCATAATTGTTATATTCTGTGCTAATAGAAATATGGAATGGACAAACATGGTGGATAAATAGTAACAGGTTTATTTTAGAAACTAGTACAACAAGCAAGGAAGTAATAGTTATACGCACAGTCGTTGCAAGTTAGTACAGTTGTGTGCGTGCTGCTGTTGGAAGGCCACTAGTCTCACAGATCCCATCTAGATTCTCCTGTCTGCTGTCCTAACGGATACTTATAGGTGGTTACTCCCTATATTGCCACCACCCATGGGGCTGGCAGGTTATTCTATCACATCAATAATATCACATTTATACCAAACATCTACATACCACAATCACCAAAATCACACATGTGTACACTTTCCATGAAATCCCAAACTAATACCACATATTTACAAACAGGTAGAGACTTGGATAAAAACATGGGGAATATTTAACTTTGCTGCTAACAAAAATACAATGTGTCAAAAGGACTGGTTTTTCACTTGACACCATTATTATTTTGAGTTTGGCACATTTCAGCATAGCCCATAGCTGTGGTTGATTCAGCATGGCTGATTTGACATCAGAAAAATAATTGGATTATTCGGCACAGCCATTTAGGCGTCAGACTGTTTCAACATCACTATCTTTGACTGCAGGCAAGCCCCCACCAAAAAAAAAATGGATAAAAGCATTGAAAACACCCAACTTTCAATATGATTTTAGGGAATTAAGAATCCTAGTAAAACAATAATGGAATAATCTAAATTGAAAACTTAAATTAAAAATATTATATTTCAAATAAATTTAAAAAATTTAGTAAATTACTTCTTCATTTCATAATTGTGATCATTTAATTCAGGATTCGTTTTGCTCGTTGTGTCAAAAATAAAAAGGTATCCATTGTGTATCACTTTGTTTCTTCCACGTTTTGATAAAATATTTGCTTCCATTTTAGAATAAAAGGACTTTGATGACTGAAAAATAAGAAGCGGCACTGAAGGAAATATAAAAATGCCTCCAACTACTCCTTTTCTTAAATATAAAAATGCTTTTCTTAAATATAAACAACTACTACTTCCTTTTCTTAAATATAAAAATGCCTCCAACTACTCCTTTTCTTAAATATAAAAATGCCTCCAACTACTCCTTTTCTTAAATATAAAAATGCCTACTCTTTTCTTAAATATAAAAATGCCTCCAACTACTCCTTTTCTTAAATATAAAAATGCCTCCATCCACTCTTTTTTAAATATAAAATGCCTCCAACTACTCCTTTTCTTAAATATAAAAAATGCCTCCAACTACTTTTTTTCTTAAATATAAATATATAAAAATGCCTCCAACTACTTTTTTCTTAAATATAAAATGCCTCCAACTACTTTTTCTTAAAAAAATGCCTCCAACTACTCCTTTTCTTAAATATAAAAATGCCTCCAACTACTCTTTTTCTTAAATATAAAAATGCCTACAACTACTCTTTTTCTTAAATATAAAAATGCCTCCAACTACTCTTTTTCTTAAATATAAAAATACCTCCAACTACTCTTTTTCTTAAATATAAAAATACCTCCAACTACTCCTTTTTTTAAATATAAAAATGCCTCCAACTACTCTTTTTCTTAAATTGGACTATTCAAGCATATAATGACAAAGTACTAAATTGACTACTAAATAAGAGAGAGAGACAGAGAGAGAGAGAGAGAGAACAAATTTGACTATAATGACAAAGTAGTAATCCGACACCTGCCTAAAAATTCTCATGTCAAATTGACCTAGCGACACCAAATGGGCTATACCAGAACGTCTCATTCCCTATTATTTTAACTACCTCCACTCTTCAACAATGTTTATTCAACAAACATGAACTATGTTCATTGTTTTAAAAGCAATGATGATGTTATTTTTATGAAAAAAAAACTTACAAATAATTCTATTTCTGTATTATAAATCAGACCTATGTATGCAAAATACATTTTTTAAAAAATATTCAAGATCAGACAAACATGGACAAATGTACCCACAATAAGATGAGGTGTCAAAGGGATGATTTTTTTCCCATGACACTGCTTTCTTCACTCTTCAGTAATATTTATTGTTTCAAAAAGAAAGATTTATTCATTTTAATGACTGGTGGGCTTCTTTTTTTTTTGCAGAGATGCCTTGATAGTGTCAATTGGAAATATATGTACGAGTATATTCGCAGGTTTTGTTATATTCTCTATCATTGGTTATCTTGCCAATGAATTAAACATGCCTGTGGATAAAGTAGTTGATCAAGGTAAGATTTCCCACTTGTTTCACTTTGATTTCATAAGCTGATAGAATAATTGCCACTGATATGAAATTTGTTATTATCAACTATTATTAATTTTTAAAAAGTATTTCTTTCATCTTAATTTGAATAACTTGATGTACACTAGTAGTATTAGAAGTAAAGCCATAGTCTTGAATTTGAATCGGATGAAGCATTGGTAAATATTTCTGATGAATTTTGACACTCTGTATAATATACATTATAAATGAGGAAGAAAGGGATTGTCAGTGATGAGGAATTAATAAAAATTAATTACTGATAGAATAAGGCCATTATATGTATAATTATTATTTTTTATCAGTGTTTTACTATAGGAATGCATTGCAAATGAGGAAGAAAGGGATTGTCAGTGGTCAGGAATGAATGCAAGCATTACTCATAGAATAGGGCTATTATATGTATAATTATTATTTTGTAGCAGTGTTTTACTATAGGAATGCATTGCAAATGAAGAAGAAAGGGATTGTCAGTGGTCAGGAATGAATGCAAGCATTACTGATAGAATAGGGCTATTATATGTAGAATTATTATTTTGTAGCAGTGTTTTACTATACGAATGCATTGCAAATGAGGAAGAAAGGGATTGTCAGTGGTCAGGAATGAATGCAAGCATTACTCATAGAATAGGGCTATTATATGTATAATTATTATTTTGTAGCAGTGTTTTACTATAGGAATGCATTGCAAATGAAGAAGAAAGGGATTGTCAGTGGTCAGGAATGAATGCAAGCATTACTGATAAAATAGGGCCATTATATATATAATTATTATTTTGTAGCAGTGTTTTACTATAGGAATGCATTGCAAATGAGGAAGAAAGGGATTGTCAGTGGTCAGGAATGAATGCAAACATTACTGATAGAATAGAGATGTTTTACACATAAATCTATGAATTCATTCTGTATCATACAATTAATATTCTTGTTTTCCCAGGTGCCGGACTAGCATTTATAGTCTACCCAGATGTGGTAACAAGATTACCTATATCACCGCTTTGGTCATTTTTATTTTTTTTTATGTTGCTGACACTTGGTATGGGCAGTGAGGTAAGTAAAAGCAAATCCTTAATAGTTATCCTTCCAAATTTTTACCTACAATTTTTACAAAGCAATAAGACACCTGTGACGAAAGGAGACCACATCCTTCAATTATTTTCTTATATCCAAACCAAGTAAAAACTACACAGACCCAAATAAAAACAATAAATAATTACTTATTCCAGAACCAAGTAAATATTTACAGACATAAATATAACAATGAAAATTTAACAATCTGAGTACAAATAAATACTTATGAACTCAAATATAAACAACCAATATTTGTCTATCCCCAAACCAAGTAAATGTTTAGAGACTTAAATATAAACAACCAATATTGTCTATCCCTGAACCAAGTAAATGTTTAGAGACTTAAATATAAACAACCAATATTTATCTATCCTTGAACCAAGTAAGTACTTATAGAATCAGATATAAATGACCAATATTTACCTATTCTTGGATCAAATAAATTTTTATAGACCCAAACATAAATGAATTATATTTACATATCCCTGAAGCAAGTCAAGGACTCTTAAAAATATAAACAATAATTATTTACTTATTGCTGGACAAAGAAAATTCTTACAGACTCAAATATTAACAATCAGTATTTATCTATCCCTGAACCAAGAAATGCTTATCAACTCAACAAATAAAAGAGACAAATATTTATATAGTCCTGAACTAAGTAATGATTCAGACTTAAATCATTGATATTTATCTCAGTATCTGTCTATATTTCTGAGATGAGGTATTATGTACACTATTTACATTATTCAGACTATTGTCTTCATCCTTGTCGCCAAATTTATTACAAAGTTTCATCCATTGTATGCTCCAGCCTTCTTCAGTATCTGTCTATATTTCTGAGATGAGGTATTATGTACGCTATTTACATTATTCAGACTATTGTCCTCATCTTTGTCGCCATATTGATGACAACATTTCGGTCATTGTACATTCCGGTCTTCTTCAGGTGGTTGGAATGTCGAACTGAACCCTTTATTTCACTCACTGGGGTAGACTGTTCTAGTTCCACATGCCATGTTTTTAATGGATGTCAGTTATCAGTTATGTCCTGTTAATTCCTCTCTCCAAGTTCTCCACTGCCTTAACCACCTTATAATTCTAAGTAACGCCTTTATCCTTGAGGACACATAGCACAGTGGATAAAGGCATTAGTTAGATCCAGTGACAGGACCCAAAGACTGTGAATTCAATACTTGGTGAAGGCAATGGAAAAAATTCTTGTATATATAAATATTAAGGGGCTTATAATTATTTATAACTCCCGTACCGATTGATTGATTTGTTTTTTTTTTATGGCTTATCAACCCTTTGCAGTTTATTTAAATCCAGATAATATTTTTAGATTGTAAGAATTTTTGGAATTAGTAATGATTCTACTTGAGACAACTCCATACATTTCCCAATTAGTGTTTGCGAAATTACCGTATTTGACGGCATATAATATTTACTAAAAATATTTTAAAATTCCCCTGTGTCTTACCTTTAATATTAATATTTTGTTTCACTAAAATTATATGCAATAAATTCAAATTATATATTTATAAAATATATTTGTTTCATTAATATTTTTCTTGCGATAACTTCCGGTTGCATTTGTAAAAATACAATCAGAATTTTTATATCCTAATTATTCCACTAAGACGTTTACATGACACAGGTTCTACAGATCATATAAAGTAAAATTTTTGACTGAATTTTAATGGTTTTTGTTCAATTTCAATAATTGCTTGATTTTTTTTTATTTTGCTTTCTTACCTTTGGATATAATAAAGAATAAAGTTTTTATAGGCTTGTATTCTTTTTTTTTTCCTACTATTTTTCATTTAATTGTAATCATGGCTTGTTTAACCAAAATAATACCTCATAAATATAGCCTAGGGGGTACCATTTACTAATAATTTTACTAATTACTAATTTTTTTTGATTTGCCATGCTGAAATTGGGGTGCATCTTATAAACCGTCAAGTACGGTAAGCCATAACAGTGATAAGGGGAGACAACTCTATTCTACTAATCTAGATATATACATTATACTTTCAAACTGAAAGAAACTGAATGGCAGAAAATTGTATAAGACAAGTATTTAACTGCACACCCATTCGGAAAGGATGTGACACAAGGCCAAGTTTTATGAGTACACTGAATCAGAGACCAATAAAGGTCCAACTCCTCAACACTTCACCTTTTTGGAAATGCTTCAGATGCCAAGATCTTACATGCCTACTGAGTTTACTATTAAATTGAAAATTAAAAATTACCAATTTTAAATTTTAAATTTAATCTGTATTAAGTTTTATATTATAAAATTATTTAAAGAAGAAGCTGAGGAAAAAAATATTTTGTTATTTATTTTGTTATAATTAAAAGATCAAAAACTCAGAATAAACATTAAAATCTAATATGGATGTAAAGCTTTGTTACAACTTAGATACATTTGAAGTTTTGCAAAAGACAATACATACACATGTAGACATATTTAGATATATAAATATGCAGACACAAACTAAACAGGAAATAGATGTCCACAACACTTTAAAAAAAATAAAACAGAGAATATATATATACAATGAAAGGCATATATAAACGATCACATACACATACATTAATAAAGACACACACATATACACACCCATAAATATTCAAATTTGAAAGTGTTACTAAACGAATTCAAACAGACTATTAAAAGATTACTTACATGAGCAAAGATATATAGACAAAGATTAATCTATATATCTTTGCACATGTAAGTAATATTTTAATATATGTGTGTGTGTGTGAAAAGAGTGTGTATATAAATATAATAATGTGTGTGTGTGTGTGTGATATATTGTATATATTATTATTTATATATTATGTGTACAGTACTTATTAGAAAGCGCACAATATCAGAGATAGAGCTAACTCTGATGTTTGCAAAAGCGTGAAACCTAGGGTCACAAACTCACATCAATCCAAATTAAATATATATATATATATATGAAAAGATATATAGATAAATAAAGATATATATATATATATATATATATATATATATATATATATATATATATATATATATATATATATATTATTTATTTATCTATATATCTTTGACCATGTAAGTAATATTTTAATCTATCTATCTATCTATCTATCTATCTATATATATATATATATATATATATAATATATATATATATATATACAGATAGAGAGAGAGAGAGAGAGAGAGAGAAAGAGACAGATATATCTTTATTTATTTATATATCTTTGCCCATGTAAGTAATTATTTAATTTATCTATCTATCTATTATCTATCTCTCTCTCTATATAAATATATATATATATATATATATATATATATATATATATATATATATATATATATATATATATATATAGAGAGAGAGAGAGAGAGAGAGACAGATATATTTTTATTTATTTATATATGTTTTGCCCATGTAATATTTATTTTAATCTATATATATATATATATATATATATATATATATATATATATATATATATATATATATATATATTATATATATATATATATATATATATATATATATAGATAGAGAGAGACAGACAGATATATCTTTTATTTATTTATATATCTTTTCATTTTGTAAAAAAGAATTTTTAATGTTTATATTTAAGTTTCATAAGAGATTTTTGGGTAATAAATTATGGAATCAAAGAAAGTTCTAGTACTTTTAGTTCTATATGGTTTGTTTTTCATTGGTCAGTTAAACCTCACACCTCTTTGTCTTGTGGCGATAATGTGCGTGTGTGTCTGGGTTCCAGTGGTTTTTTTTGTGTCAGTCTTGTAGTGTCTGTTTTTTAAATAATTCCTGAGGATGTTAGAAGGATGTTGACATGCCTGTATTTTTGTGTATCACATTTCTAATTGGTCTTGTGGGATTTGGGTGATAATGTGTTTGGGTGTGTCTAGTGACCATTTTTGAGGCCTTTTTTCAGCAAATTAGTGAAGGCACCTACTATCTATCTATCTATAAGATAAAGAACAAATAGGAAACGTTTATCAATCTAACATGTTTCTCTTTTATTAAAGCTTCATCAGAGAATGAGTTATGAAAAAAAAATGAAAGAAATTATGGTATTTTTAATTTTGTGTCATTTGATTTTCATTAATTAATTATGTTTCACATGCATTCGACTTGTTAAAGAAACATTAGTATAATTTATGGTGTTCTGAATTCGAAGAGAGATAACACTTCCTTTCAAATGGATGGAAAATTATATTCTTTGCTTCATTGAATTACAATTCTTTTCTTAAACAATCTTCATTTCTTTTATTTTTTTATTTGACTGTTCAGAATCCCTTGTAGGTTAGCCAGATCGATATACACCCATGAAGGCCAATGGTCACAATGGCTGAAATGTAGTGATAACAACAAAAAGGATTAGTACAATAGTCCAAATGTAAATAGTGTAAATAATGATAATGCCTCATCCCAGAAATTCAGTGATAACGTCAACAAAGATTAGTACAATAGTCCGAATGTAAATAGTGTAAATAATGATAACGCCTCATCCCAGAAATTCAGTGATAACGTCAACAAAGATTAGTGCAATAGTCCAAATGTAAATAGTGTAAATAATGATAATGCCTCATCCCAGAAATTCAGTGATAACAACAACAAAGATGGGGACAACAGTCTGAATGTAAATAGTGTGAATAATGTTTTATTTCATTTTTACTTTTACAGTTTGCCCTTTTGGAGACAATCATGACAGCTGTACAAGATTTATACCCTGTGCTGAGACAGAGAAAAACATGGGTTGTACTGGCTGAATTTAGTATATTATATGCTTTACAAAAATAAAAAAAAAAAAATGTACAGAAATTGATTATTATTGTTTTTATAAATTTTAATCATATCAACCCAAACAAATTTGGCTTTATCCCAGAAATGCAAAAGTTTTTCAAAATCAAAAGAATATGACAAAACATTATTAACCCTGTATTAGTCACCTCAAATTTTTTTTTTATAATGATTTTTAAATTCTACCCCTGATGACAAATGAGAAACAGGCAACTGAATATGACCACAATGCCACACACCTTCTTTTTCATTAAAATATTTGTTTTAGCATATACACAGTAAAAGAAACAAGTTACCAATTAAGAGTAGTTTAAAAATTTGTGGGTATCAAAATATCCAATGGGACTCAGGCGGGGTTCAGGAGGGAAATTTTAAAAGGAACAGGAATTAATAACAAAAGATGATAACAACTAAATAAAAATAAAAAAATTTTTTCAAGATCAAATTTAACTGGAAAGCAAGAAGGTGGGAACATTATTAAGGAGAGATGAACAATAAAACGAAAATTAAAAGACAGAAGATAACAATTGACATTGCATTTAATTTTTCAAGATAAAGTTTGGAACAAAGCCAGAAACATTATTAAGAGAGAAAGAATAATAAAAGAACAAAAATTAAGAAAACAGAAGATAACAATTGACATTGCATTTAAACTTTTCAAGATAAAAAAAGAAATTTGAAAAAAAGAAAAAAAAATTTCAAACATTATTAAAGAGAAAACAATAAAAAAGAATAAGAATTAAGAAGAAAGAAGATAACAATTGACATTGCATTTAAACTTTTCAAGATCAATCAATGAACATATTTAAAGAATAAAAGAAGCCGGAAACAATTATTAAGAGAAGAATAAAAAGAACAAGAATTAAGAAGACAGAAGATAACAATTGACATTGCATTTAAACTTTTTCAAAAGATCAAAGTTGAATGGAAAGGAAAAAAAAACATTATTAAGGAGAGAGAGAACAATAAAAGAACAAAGAATTAAGAAGACAGAAGATAACAATTGACATTGCATTTAAAAACATTTTTCAAGATCATTTTGAGTTGAAAGAAAGAAAAAAAAACATTATTAAGGAGAGAGAACAATAAAAGAACAAGAATTAACAAGACAGAAGATAACAATTGACATTGCAAAAACTTTTCAAGATCAAAAGAAAAATGGAAAGGAAGAAAAAAAGAAACATTATTAAGGAGAGAGAACAATAAAAGAACAAGAATTAAGAAGACAGAAGATAACAATTGACATTGCATTTAAACTTTTCAAGATCAAAGTTGAGTTGAAAAAAGAAACGGAAACATTATTAAAAGGAGAGAGAACAATAAAAGAACAAGAATTAAGAAGAAGAAGATAACAATTGACATTGCATTTAAATTTTTCAAGATCAAAGTTGAATGGAAAGGAAGAAGAAAAAAGAAACATTATTAAGGAGAGAAGAACAATAAAAAGAACAAGAATTAAGAAGACAGAAGATAACATATTGACATTGCATTTAAACTTATTTTTCAAAGTTGAATGGAAAGAAAGAAGCCGAAAACAATTTGAGAGAGAGAGAACAAAAAAAGAAGAAAATAAGAAGAAAGACAGAACAATTGACATTTTGCATTTAAATTTTCATAAAAAAAAATTTGAATGGAAAAGAAAAAAAATATTATTAAAGAGAGAACAATAAAAAAAAAAAAATATAAGAAAAAAGATAACAATTGATTTAGAATTTAAAAATTTAAAATCAAAAAAAAATTCATTATTAAAAAAAAACATATATTAAGGAGAGAGAATAAGAAAAGAATGAATTAAGAAGACAGAAGATAAAAATTGACATTGCATTTAAATTTTCAAATCAAAGTTGATTTAAAAAAGCAAGAAAAAAAGAAACATTATTATTAAGGAGAGAGAACAATAAAAGAACAAGAATTAAGAAGACAAAAGATAATAACAATTGACATTGCATTTAAACTTTTCAAGATCAAAGTTGAATGGAATGGAAGAAGTTGGAAACATTATTAAGGAGAGAGAACAATAAAAGAACAAGAATTAAGAAGACAGAAGATAAAAATTGACATTGCATTTAAACTTTTCAAGATCAAAGTTGAATGGAAAGAAAGAAGCCGGAAACATTATTAAGGAGAGAGAACAATAAAAGAACAAGAATTAAGAAAACAGAAGATAACAATTGACATTGCATTTAAAATTTTCAAGATCAATTTAATTTGAAAGAAAATTTTTGGAAACATTATTAAAGAGAGAGAACAATAAAAGAAAAAAGATTTAAGAAGAAGAAGAAAAAATGACAATTGCATTTTTAACTTTTTAAAATCTTTCAAATGAAATTTGAAAAAGAATAAGAAAACATTATTAAGGAGAGAGAACAATAAAAAGAACAAGAATTAAAAGAAAGAAGATAACAATTGACATTGCATTTAAACTTCAAGATCAAAGAAAGAATGGAAAAAAGAAAAGAAGTTAAAAACATTATTAAGGAAAGAGAAAACAATAAAAGAACAAAGAATTAAGAAGACAGAAGATAACAATTGACATTGCATTTAAACTTTTTAAAGATGAAAAAGTTGAATGGAAAGGAAGAAAAAAGAAAAATTATTAAGGAGAGAGAGAACAATAAAAGAACAAAAATAAAAGAAGACAGAAGATAACGATTTTTATTGCATTTAAACTTTTTAAGAATCAAAAAAGAAGTTGAGTTGAAAGAAAATTTTGGAAATTTTAAAAAAAAAAAAAGGAGAGAATATAACAATAAAAGAACAAAAATTAAGAAGACAAGAAGATAACAATTGACATTGAATTTAAAACTTTTCAAGATCAAAATTGAAAAAAAAAGAAAGAAAAAAAAACATTATTAAGGAGAGAGAACAAAAGAAAAGAAAAGAATTAAGAAAAGAATTAAAAAGATAACAATTGACATTGCATTTAAAATTTTTCAAGATCAAAGTTGAGTTGAAAAAGAAGCCGGAAACATTATTAAGGATTAAGAGAACAATAAAAAGAACAAGAATTAAGAAGACAGAAAATTTTAACAATAATAAAATTGCATTTAAACTTTTCAAGATGAAAGTTGAATGGAAAGGATTTTTTTCGGAAACATTATTAAGGAGAGAGAACAATAAAAGAACAAGAATTAAGAAGACAGAAGATAACAATTGACATTGCATTTAAATTTTTCAAGATCAAAAGTTGATTGGAAAGCAAGAAGCCGGAAACATTATTAAGAGAGAGAACAATAAAAGAACAAGAATTAAGAAGACAGAAGATAACAATTGACATTGCATTTAAACTTTTCAAGATCAAAGTTGAATGGAAAATGCAAGAAAAAAGAAACATTATTAAGGAGAGAGAACAATAAAAGAACAAGAATTAAGAAGACAGAAGATAACAATTGACATTGCATTTAAACTTTTCAAGATCAAAGTTGAGTTGATTGATAGCAAGAAAAATAAACATTATTAAGAGAGAGAACAAGAAAAAAGAACAAGAATTAAGAAGACAGAAGATAACAATTGACATTGCATTTAAACTTTTCAAGATCAAAGTTGAGTGGAAAGCAAGAAAAAAAGAAAATTATTAAGGAGAGAGAACAAGAAAAAAAAAGAGAATTAAGAAGACAGAAGATAACAATTGACATTGAATTTAAATTTTTCAAGATCAAAGTTGAATGGAAAGGAAGAAATAACGGAAACATTATTAAGGAGAGAGAACAATAAAGAACAAAAATTAAGAAGACAGAAGATAACAATTGACATTGCATTTATTTTTTTTTCAAGATCAAAGTTGAATGGAAAAAAGAAGCCGGAAACATTATTAAGGAGAGAGAACAATAAAAAGAACAAAATTAAGAAGACAGAAGATAACAATTGACATTGCATTTAAACTTTTCAAGATCAAAGTTGAATGGAAAGGAAGAAGCCGGAAACATTATTAAGGAGAGAGAAAACAAAAAAAAGAACAAGAATTAAGAAGACAGAAGATAACAATTGACATTTTATTTAAACTTTTCAAGATCAAAGTTGAGTTAAAAAAATTGATAAAGAAGCCGGAAACATTATTAAGGAGAGAGAACAAAAAAAGAACAAAAATTAAAAAGACAGAAGATAACAATTGACATTGCATTAAAAAAAAAGAACAAAAAGATAAAAGTTGAATGGAAAAGGAAGAAAGAAAAAGAAGGAAACATTATTAAGGAGAGAGAACAATAAAAAAGAACAAGAATAAAAAGAAGAAAGAAAAAATAACAATTGACATTGCATTTAAACTTTTCAAGATCAAAGTTGAGTTAAAAGCAAAAAATCATGGAAAACATTATTAAAGAGAGAGAACAATAAAAGAAAAAAAATTAAGAAGACAGAAGATAACAATTGACATTGCATTTAAATTTTTTTCAAGATCAAAGTTGAATGGAAAGGAAGAAAAAAAAAAACATTATTAAGGAGAGAGAACAATAAAAGAACAAAATTAAGAAAGAAGAAGAAGATAACAATTGACATTGCATTTAAACTTTTCAAGATCAAAGTTGAGTTTAACAAAAAGCAAAATTTGGAAACATTATTAAGGAGAAAGAACAAAAAAAAGAACAAGAATTAAGAAGACAGAAGATAACAATTGACATTGCATTTAAACTTTTCAAGATCAAAGTTGAAAAAAAAGAAGCCGGAAACATTATAAAAAGGAGAGAGAAACAATAAAAAAGAACAAGAATTAAGAAGACAGAAGATAACAATTGACAAATTTAAAAATTTTCAAGATCAAAGTTGAGTGAAAAGCAAAGAAAAAAAAACATTATTAAGGAGAGAGAACAAAAAAAAAGAACAAGAATTAAGAAGACAGAAGATAACAATTGACATTGCATTTAAACTTTTCAAGATCAAAGTTGAATGGAAAGGAAGAAGCCGGAAAACATTATTAAGGAGAGAGAACAAAAAAAGAACAAGAATTAAGAAGACAGAAGATAACAATTGACATTGCAT